GTTGTTGCAAAACCCTCTGGACGATCGAGTTTAGAAGCGCATTGTGAGGCCGGAAGAGAAATGGATTTAAGTGGTTAACCAAAAACTACAAAAGAAACGGGTACCAAAAGGTTAAGCTCCTCCGGCAAGCCTAGGTCATGAGCGAGTCGGCAAGAAGAGGATGAACTGCGTTTGGTGCAATTCCGAAGGTGTGCTTTACCTTAAATTTGCTCCAAATGGCCGTGCCATCAACTCAACTCTCCACCGTCGACAACTGGACCGAGTCTACGCCAAACTTACAGATAAGTACCCGGTATTGGTTGGTCGAAAACGGACCCTGTTCTACCAGGACAATGCCAAACCTCACATTGCAAAAGGTGCATAACAAGTTTAAATAATTAAATGGGGTTGAGGATTTTTCACATCCAGCCTACAGCCCCGATGCCGCGGAATCTAACTAGGGTATCTTCAGACTAATGCAGAAATTCTTGCGAGGTTCTTGATTCGAGTGATTTCAGGAAGTTAAATAAGCATGCAAGGGCTTTTTTGAGGAGTGTTACTTTAGCCAGGCGCGGGTGATTGCAGATCGGTAGCGGAAAACTGTTAAGAATGATGGACTGCATTTTTAAAAAGAGTTTTTATTGTTTTTTTTGCTTGTTACTAAAAGCAGGGTGTAAATTTGTTTGATAAATATTTGCATTTATCTGGAGCAGGACAGCTGTCTTATTTGAAGATCGCGTATACAGCAGAACTAATTGGAACCATAAATTTCGCGAGCGCTCATCAGCTGCGTCCTCTGGCTGCATCAGGTGAGTAACGAATGAGAGAATACACAAAAAATTGGATTCTTACAGAAGAGGTCATAGAAACTTGAGGATGCAAGTACAAAGGGCGAACACAAGAACAATTGACAGTCAGAACTAAGGAGCACTTGCCGAGTTGGCTATTAGAACAAGAGAATAGAACTCCTCGTTCTTCCATTACTGAAAACCTATTGGATACGGGCCATTCTGTAGACCCCAAAAAATCCTTCCGAGTACTTGTTCGGGCACGAACAACTCGTACCTTGTGCTACCTGGAGGCAGTCTGTATAAGACGGTAAAAACCCGACAGTTGGAGCATGTTGTGAGCCTAGCTTTGCCCTGGTAACATCCGCCTCCCTGATTCACACTTCCCCCTGCCCGCATTTCTGCTTTAACTTTTTTCCCCCTACCTCACTGTCCACAGTGTTTCACTTGCTTACGTTACTAATTAGACTAGTTAGCCTAATTTACTAATTGACCTTTTTCTATGACCTCTTCTGTACGAATTCAATTTTTTGTGTATTCTTTCATTCGTTACTCACTTTATGCAGCGAGAGGACGCAGCAGATGAGCTCTCGTGAAATGTATGGTTCCAATAAATTCTCCTGCATACGCAATCTTCAAATTTGCACCTGGGAAAATGCGCTTCAAATAGCTGTCTTAGTTCCACAGATAGGAATGGAGATCGCGGATGGCGACACTCCAAAAAGCAAATGTGACGGTGACGGTTTCCACTGAATACGCCCAAATTCTTGAAACTTAGACCGATTACCTTAAACGGGTCCTCGGGCAGAAACTATTAGCGAAGTGGGCTTCAAATATTGCTAAATGTGCAAAACATTCTTGGAAGAATGCACACGCTGTTGCAAGCCATCTATGGACCTCCCTGGTACCGGTCCTGTGGACTTAACATTTTATTTAAGACACATATACTTCTTCCACACTATTCAAAAAGCTACATAGAAAAAACCAAGATATTCCTCTACGAAATAGTTTACACAAAACACGGAAGAACCAAAGTGTAACAATAAACTTTGCCTACGGAGCCTATAGTAAAAATTGGTTGCTTTATGGAAGCCCGAAAGTCTAGAAAAAAAAATGCACGGCCCGGAACCAGTGCTGGGTGCGGCACCCGAAGACATCCAAGAAAGGCGGTATGCTAACATGTTGGGATAAGGCCGCAGTTATAAGTGTTGTACTTTAAGGAAATAAAAGAAGACTGCGTGCCAGAGTCACTTTTTCTATCGCTGCTTGCGTAAGAAACAGCAAGCGAGGGAGACAAGGAGGTGGGGGGCCTGTCACTGTGTGATGATGAACGGCCGCAAATGTCGCTGAAAATTTTAAGCACCAAACAAGGCTATCTTAGTGCTAACCACTTTGTGGGAATCGTATTTTTACCTACGAGCAGTGCAATAATTACGTTAAAACGGCCATTCGCTTGTTTTTTTCTTCAGCGTTTCCATCTACTGCTTGTAGTGGTGTACTGTTAAACAGCCTCACCCAGTCTTTAAATTCGATCTAGCTTGATCTATGAGAGATCGACCAGGCATGGTTACGCAAGGCCTGATGACTCGATTTTATGTACATTAACTGAGAGAAGTTAGAAGTTTACAAACAGCTAGCCTAGGCGTTCAAAATGCGCTCGCTGATTCGTTCTCATTGGTCGTACGCCATTGTAAATGAAGAAATGAAATCACTCCGTCTTTACTATGAACCCACAGGAATAGATAAAACTGGTTGTAAACTAAAAACTACAGCAAAAATGAGTTCAGCAAGCAGTAGGTGGCGAAAGAGATGTAAATTAATGGGTTTTTTACTGCAGCGACTTTGCCCATGATAGCATAAGGAGTTAAATAGCATAAGCTTGGGGCGTTAATGCTTGCTGTTAGTGTTATGGCAAAGTGAACGAAATCTAGCGATGGAATCTCCATACCTTGTAATCTGCAAACCGAAAATGCACGTAAACCAGATAACGGACAGCAAAATCATAGGGAAAGTACATAGGCGCAATTGCTGGAAAAATCTAGAGACCGGCGGGCCAATCCAACCAGTCGGAAGAAAGTAGAAAACAGAGAATCTGTCCTGGGAATCAAGCAGACGGGGGCAAAGGCAATCGCAGCGCCTGGCGCAAATATTTCAGCAGCTTGTTCAGATCACAGGAAAAAATTTGGCCAGGTCTAATCATCGAAGTAGTTGAAGTAAAATTGGGCATTTGGGACGCTGCTAGGCGATTTAACTGATTTGACAATCTCTTTCTTTCTCTCTCGGACACAAGATTCTGCAGTTATTTTTGGCTCAACGCTATCAGAGCCAGATCAGCTAACAGTCGGACGCAACTTGGATACAATTAGAACTGCGATTAAGGTCAGTAGGTTGGGCACATAAAATGATTGACCGGATGCAACCGCGTCGAACGCCGCCTGAACAAATCTCCACCGTTCTAGCTTACTAAAGATAAATTCGCGCGCACACATAGAGCGCAGAAGGCCCCTAGAAAAGATCGCCCAAATCCACCACCCGTCCCTGGGACTAGCGATTAACAAAGTCTATGGCCCCAGTAAACTTGAAGAGGTACGTGTTGGTTACTGGTAGCAATGACTGGATTCCAAAATATGACAATACGCAAATCTAGTCGGTACCTTTGCAGCCAGGTCCGTATACGCTTTCTTTAGGTCTTTACCCTTGCAATCACCGCACACTGTAATAGTCTAGGAATAACTGTAGCTGAAGCCCTGGCAGCAATATCGCTTCTCGTCTCGTCTTCCCGTTAACAGGTATAAGAATGACTGAGCCTTAGTCATCAAGCAGTCTTGGCTCCCCAAGGTTTACTGAAGCAGGGCTGGCAAACTTCTAATGGACCTTAACAAGAGGCGAATAGAATTATAATGCTGTTTTGGGCACACCCCTTTTATTGCATCGGTGAGTGCTTGCATGGAGGGGCGGTCACATGACTCGT